TCGGAAACACAGCTGGTAATATTTGGTTTTAATTCGGCTTTTATCGGGGTTTATTTTTTGTATTTTTGTATTTTTGTATTTTGTATTTTTTGTATTTTGTGTATATTATTTGTTTTTAATATGCTGTGAACCGCCCTGAGTCCTATGGGAGAAGGGCGGTATACAAATTAAAATAATAATAATAATAATAATAATAATATTTAGACAAAACAGATTTAAACACTTTTTTAATTAAAATATTTACATCCATTTTTTCTAAAGAATCCAAGTTAACAATTAAAAGCAAAACAGGTAGTCCTCGACTTACGACCACAATTGAGCCCAAAATTTTTGTTGCTAAGTGAAATATTTGTTAAGAGAGCTTGCCCCATATTACAACCTTTCTTGACACATTTGTTAAGTGAATCACTGTAGTCATTAAATTAGTCAAATTGTTGAGTGAATCTGGCTTCTCCATTGACTTTGCTTATCAGAAGATTGCAAAAGGGGAAAACGTGACCCCAGGACACTGCAACAGTCATAAATGTGAGTCAATTGCCAAGTGTCTGAATTTTGATCACATGATCATGGGATTGTACGACAGTCGTAAGTGTGAAAACCAGTCATAAGTCACTTTTTTCAGTGCCATTGTAACTTTCAACAGCCACTAAATGAACTGTTGTAAGTCAAGGGCTACCTGTACAAATGAAATAATAAATAACATGAAGTTACATAACTGTAAATAATCAATATTGTAAATTAAATGGAATTTATTAACCAGCTTGAAGGAGGAATGCAGCCTACTTTTGATCATAGCATAGGATACATTTATATTTTCAGTATAATAAAGCATGCATTTTTATTTATACAATGACCTAATTGTTGACATTAAAATTTCAAGAAACTGGTTAACTTACAAATCAGTTTTAATACAAAATGGTCTAATCAAACATTTTTCCTTAAAAGTGTCTCTTTTGTTTTTGTTTTGTGTGTGTCCATGTGTCTGTATACATACATATAGCTATTGTTAATAAATAAAATAAAATACTTACTCCATTTTTCTCTGGATTACAAACTTTAACTGAAATTAAGTGGTCTAGTAGCCAGTCAATTGGTTTATCTTTGTAGAACATTAACAAAAATTCTACTATCAGTGGTAAGTCTTTGCATCGGAATAATTTTCCTGAAAATACATATTTTTTAAAAAAGGAAAAGAAAATCATAATTTTATTCACAACACAACAATATATTAACTTTATTGTCTAAGTCTATCCATTACTAAGAAGTTGGATCAAGATTTAGTTACAATTAGTCTATTAATTACATTTACATAATTCAAGCTCTATTGATTTTAATAGTTTATTTAGAGTATGGCAAAATCTGTTCTCACTCTATTGTCTATAGAAATTACATTTTGTCTGAAGAATAGAAAATAGTAATGACTCTAATAATTTGGACAAGCATTGAAATATTAACACAATTAATATTTTCGTGTGTTTATGGCCCCTCATTTGTATTGATTCTGACCTCATTTCCTTGTGTTTGAAAGAATGTTTCACATTTTTATCTGCTAAAATAGCAGCTACTCTTTGTTTTTGCCTCCCAGATCCAAGTAGAGATACTTTGATTTTTTTATCTCATTTTCAAGATTCTTTTAGATCTTTTAGTTTATTTTATTATTGTAAGATGGCATAGGATAATGATAATTCTATTTTTAATTATATCTCTCTTGTTTTGTAACATTTTTGGCTACTTTTGCTTCCTAAACTGAAAAAAGTGAAAGCAGTACCCTAATGTCTTCACTTAGCATTTAATTGAAATATGAGACATTACAGAAGGCTGGAGAGATTATTCACCGGGGAAAGACAAGCTACTCAAACAGTATAAGCTGCTTAGCACTTAGGTAAATGCATGAATATCAAAACCAGTGTCAATGCTGTAAATATTGGATCTTCCCGCTCTGACAACTGATGAAAATTGCTGCCATTTTCTCTTTTCTTTTAATATGCTTTTTCTGGTATTTAGAAATCAGGTGCAGAAGGGGGGGGTTGGGATGAAAGCGCGAGCTCAGCTAGCCACAATAATAATGCTGCTTTGTGGGAACCCAAGGATGATCTGATAACATTTTGGCGGGCTGAGGAGCTGGGTAGAAAGCCCGCGTTTTAGGCTAATTGGAGAATGTGATTTATGACAGCTTATTGGGGGTGGGAATTTATGACAGCTTATTGGGGGTGGGAGAAGGGAATTTAGTTTTTGGGTACAACTATGTAGTGCTGATACTTTGTTTTCTGAATAAAATGTTCTTTAAGGAAGAATTTTTGCCTTGAAGTTCTTTTGATGGGTTTCGTCTATTGGAACCATGACAACCAGCCCATGAAGATCTAAATAAACTTTAAATTCTCTCCTAAAATTCAAAACCACCGGGGTTTTTTAGAATGAGAAGGTTAAAAAAAGGCAGATATAACATTCAGCCTATCTTTGTATTCATTTTATCAACTATAATTATTAAATATCTCTATTATCAACAAAGATAAATGTTAAATGATGGACACTTTTTAAAATAATGTATTATACTATGCTTATAGTTCTTGGATGAGATCTAGGAAACTCATTATACAACTCCACCAGTTATTTTCTTTCATGATCCTCTGGAAATTCCATAATCCATGTAAAAAGTGTTGGGATTTTTTTCTTTTTTGAAGCACATTTATTTTTACATGAAAAGCCTACATTTTTTATTACAAATAAGCCTTATTGAACTCCATGATATTTACCTATTAATGCATACATAACATAGACTAAAAAAGTAATTCAAGTACAAAAATACCTGATTTGGAATAATATTTTATTGGATTGTTGTTTGCTGCCCAGAGTGCTTTTAGTGAGATGGATGGCCATACAAATTTGATTAATAAAAAATATTGTGAAAAATGGCCACAATATTTAAATATTTAATAAAATATATTAAATTATTAATTAAATTAATATAAAATTAATAATATAATTTTGATGCTGAAAGATAGAAAATGTATTGTCATCCACTTGTATTCTTATTTAGGCTGATCTTTGTGGACTCTTGACAATATTTATTTTTATTTATTAAATTTATATACTGTACTTACCAATAAACCCAAGCTGAGAAAACTCAAGAACTATCNCCATTTCGGACAAATGGCTGTCCAGTCTCTTCTTAAAAACTTCCAGTGTTGGAGCATTCACCGCTTCTGGAGGCAGGTTGTTCCACTGGTTAATTGTTCTCACTGTCAGGAAGTTTCTCCTTAGTTCTAGATTGCTTCTCTCCTTGATTAGTTTCCACCCGTTGCTTCTTGTCCTGCCTTCAGGCGCTTTGGAGAATTGTTGAGTGAATCTGGCTTCTCCATTGACTTTGCTTATCAGAAGATTGCAAAAGGGGAAAACGTGACCCCAGGACACTGCAACAGTCATAAATGTGAGTCAATTGCCAAGTGTCTGAATTTTGATCACATGATCATGGGATTGTACGACAGTCGTAAGTGTGAAAACCAGTCATAAGTCACTTTTTTCAGTGCCATTGTAACTTTCAACAGCCACTAAATGAACTGTTGTAAGTCAAGGGCTACCTGTACAAATGAAATAATAAATAACATGAAGTTACATAACTGTAAATAATCAATATTGTAAATTAAATGGAATTTATTAACCAGCTTGAAGGAAGAATGCAGCCTACTTTTGATCATAGCATAGGATACATTTATATTTTCAGTATAATAAAGCATGCATTTTTAATTATACAATGACCTAATTGTTGACATTAAAATTTCAAGAAACTGGTTAACTTACAAATCAGTTTTAATACAAAATGGTCTAATCAAACATTTTTCCTTAAAAGTGTCTCTTTTGTTTTTGTTTTGTGTTTGTCCATGTGTCTGTATACATACATATAGCTATTGTTAATAAATAAAATAAAATACTTACTCCATTTTTCTCTGGATTACAAACTTTAACTGAAATTAAGTGGTCTAGTAGCCAGTCAATTGGTTTATCTTTGTAGAACATTAAAAAAAATTCTACTATCAGTGGTAAGTCTTTGCATCGGAATAATTTTCCTGAAAATACATTTTTTTTAAAAAAGGAAAAGAAAATCATAATTTTATTCACAACACAACAATATATTAACTTTATTGTCTAAGTCTATCCATTACTAAGAAGTTGGATCAAGATTTAGTTACAATTAGTCTATTAATTACATTTACATAATTCAAGTTCTATTGATTTTAATAGTTTATTTAGAGTATGGCAAAATCTGTTCTCTCTCTATTGTCTATAGAAATTACATTTTGTCTGAAGAATAGAAAATAGTAATGACTCTAGTAATTTGGACAAGCATTGAAATATTAACACAATTAATAATTTCGTGTGTTTATGGCCCCTCATTTGTATTGATTCTGACCTCATTTCCTTGTGTTTGAAAGAATGTTTCACATTTTTATCTGCTAAAATAGCAGCTACTCTTTGTTTTTGCCTCCCAGATCCAAGTAGAGATACTTTGATTTTTTTATCTCATTTTCAAGATTCTTTTATATCTTTTAGTTTATTTTATTATTGTAAGATGGCATAGGATAATGATAATTCTATTTTTAATTACATCTCTCTTGTTTTGTAACATTTTTGGCTACTTTTGCTTCGTAAACTGAAAAAAGTGAAAGCAGTACCCTAATGTCTTCACTTAGCATTTAATTGAAATATGAGACATTCACCGGGGAAAGACAAGCTACTCAAACAGTATAAGCTGCTTAGCACTTAGGTAAATGCATGAATATCAAAACCAGTGTCAATGCTGTAAATATTGGATCTTCCCGCTCTGACAACTGATGAAAATTGCTGCCATTTTCTCTTTTCTTTTAATATGCTTTTTCTGGTATTTAGAAATCAGGTGCAGAAGGGGGGGTTTGGGATGAAAGCGCGAGCTCAGCTAGCCACAATAATAACGCTGCTTTGTGGGAACCCAAGGATGAGCTGATAACATTTCGGCAGGCTGAGGAGCTGGGTAGAAAGCCCGCGTTTTAGGCTAATTGGAGAATGTGATTTATTACAGCTTATTGGGGGTGGGAATTGCACTTTCTTACTTTATATCCGGGAGAAGGGAATTTAGTTTTTGGGTACAACTATGTAGTGCTGATACTTTGTTTTCTGAATAAAATGTTCTTTAAGGAAGAATTTTTGCCTTGAAGTTCTTTTGATGGGTTTCGTCTATTGGAACCATGACAACCAGCCCATGAAGATCTAAATAAACTTTAAATTCTCTCCTAAAATTCAAAACCACAGGGGTTTTTTAGAATGAGAAGGTTAAAAAAAGGCAGATATAACATTCAGCCTATCTTTGTATTCATTTTATCAACTATAATTATTAAATATCTCTATTATCAACAAAGATAAATGTTAAATGATGGACACTTTTTAAAATAATGTATTATACTATGCTTATAGTTCTTGGATGAGATCTAGGAAACTCATTATACAACTCCACCAGTTATTTTCTTTCATGATCCTCTGGAAATTCCATAATCCATGTAAAAAGTGTTGGGATTTTTTTCTTTTTTGAAGCACATTTATTTTTACATGAAAAGCCTACATTTTTTATTATGAATAAGCCTTATTGAACTCCATGATATTTACCTATTAATGCATACATAACATAGACTAAAAAAGTAATTCAAGTACAAAAATACCTGATTTGGAATATTTTATTGGATTGTTGTTTGCTGCCCAGAGTGCTTTTAATGAGATGGATGGCCATACAAATTTGATTAATAAAAAAATATTGTGAAAAATGGCCACAATATTTAAATATTTAATATAATATATTAAATTATTAATTAAATTAATATAAAATTAATAATATAATTTTGATGCTGAAAGATAGAAAATGTATTGTCATCCACTTGTATTCTTATTTAGGCTGATCTTTGTGGACTCTTGACAATATTTATTTTTATTTATTAAATTTATATACTGTACTTACCAATAAACCCAAGCTGAGAAAACTCAAGAACTATC